GGTCGAAGGAATGGCTGTGAGTTGCTTGATGTACTTGCGCTGGCCCAATGGCAAGTGCAGATCTGGAATGTCTCCGTTCTTTTCCGTGTACGATGCCTCGCCCACGACCACAATCGTGTAGGCGCTGGAGGCAGCCAACGCCAAATCGGCCGTTCGATTGCCGATGACGTGGCCGGTCGTGTCGACACCTTCGGCGTACCGGACGTTTGCAAACGTGTGATTGAGGGCGTCTCGAACAGACACTCCATGCGGAATCAACGTCGAGTTGTCTGTGCCTTGCCAAAAGATGGACCATCCGCCGCACAAAAAGGCTTTGGAATCTGCCAGTGGCCCCGTCACAAACACACTGGCTTGGGGGTCTTCGATGGGCAAAGTGAACTTGGGGCTCACGGCATCCACGGGAAGTTTCGGCGAATTTTCCAATAAGATGATCGACTCGTCCGCGGCGGCCTTGGCGTCTCGCTGGTCGGCCGCGCTCCCGACCGCGTCGGTGACGGCCACGTCATCCTTGTCTTGCCAATCAAACTGTCCATGGTTGTATTGATCCAGCAACCCAATGCTGGCTTTCATCTGCAGAATGCGCCGAACGCTGTCGTCCAGTCGTTTCGCCGAGATCTGGCCTTGCTGGACCAATGATAACGTCATATTGGCCACATCAGATAGCCCTGGCAGCATATTCATGTCGACGCTAGTGTGGTTATACACTGTGAAAATGGCATCGACGTCCGAGTCGGCGGCGTGGTGTTCGGCTGCCAACTGGTGGATTTCGTTCTCGTCCGTAACTAATACCCCGTGAAAACCCATATCGTTTCGGAGCAACTCGACAAGCAACTTGTGGCTGGAAATCACTGGCTCCCCATTTACACTCGTGTATGTTTCCATGGCCGACTTGACGCGGCCTTGATGGACTGCCGCCAGGAAGGATGGGGCGTAATAGTTGACCAGTTCAAAGTCGGAAATGACGCTGTCCGCCCGGTCGTTGCCTGAAGTCGGGTTGGAGTACCCAATGAAATGCTTCATGCATGCCTACATACCGGTAGTACATACAGGTCATAAAAGTGTATTTTTGCCACATAATTATAGTACACATACTATAAACTCGTACATATAGTTTAAAACGTAGAAAACACAAAACCATGTATC